TTTTTTTTTTGAAACCAAATGAACAAAATCTTTTTTATGAAGAAAGGATGAATACACCAAATGAATTTGGGGCTGCAGCGATAACAAAAAATTTTTTTTGCAGTTAACAAAATTTTTGAGGATAAACTAAAAAGAAGTAGAGGAAAGGGACCTCGATGATAAAAAGTGACTTATAAAATTTGTGACTTATATCAAATACCCTTGTAGAAGCAGACAGGAAAGAAGAGGAATGGGTAATAAACGGTGGGATATTCACTTTCCCTTCTGCTTCAAATCTTTTATAGGTCGCCATACTATTGCTACTTTTCGACATAATTTTTATATTTTATTTTTTTTTTTTGTGATTTCTGTCCTTTTTCTTTCATTGTTCAAAGTCATCAGCATTTAGCCACAAAAGAAGCCCAGAAAAAAATTTTTTTATTTAACAAGAAAAAGGAAGAAATTTTGTTGTTCTGAACAAGGAAAAAAATTGGATAACGAAAAAGAAACGATTTCTTTCTCCAAACCGAATTGTTCCTGCAACTGCTTCGTCTTTTTGTTATTTAGCTTTTCTATTATCCTTTTTCTCGTCTGTAGCCAACCAACAACGATGCTTTTTTTTTGACGACAGCAAGTCAAAAGTTGTTGGTATTACTTGCTGTCGGTATTCCTAACACTACAAATGCCTTCAGAATCTGATGCCAACGGACGACGACAACAGCGATGAAGGAGGCGCCGACAATGTAAGATGCTGTTCGCTAGCTGTTGACTGCTGATTTGTCACTGTTTATTGCAAGGCGTGATTTTTTGATTTTAAATTTTATATCAAAGAAAAATTTAGCTATTAATCATCGGTAGGCCTATTTCAAGAAGAATTTTAACAAAATGACAACAGTGAAAACGGGAGAAAAAGTAATCATCTTCTTCTGAACTGATAGTAAACAGTATTTTTTTTTTTGTGGCACTTGTCATTTTTATGCTCTGTATGAGAAAATTTTATTTTTTTACCAGGGACAGTTATAAATTTATTTGATGTTTAATAGCAAAAACTACTTTTCTTTTTTTGCTTTTTTTGTTTTGAAATAATTTTATTTATTATCAGAAACAATTAGTAACCTATTTGGTGTTTAGCAGCAAAAATTGCAAAAATTACTTTTATTTTTCTGCCATTTTTGTTTTGTTTGTTGTTACTTTATTTAAAAAAATTTTTTTGCTGTGGTTTAATAATAAACTGAGGAAGAAAATAGTGCGAAGTAAAAAGAATGAAAAAGAATAATAGGCAAATTATAACATAGTTAACTAAAGGAGAAAAGAAAACAAAAAAGTTTTGTATTTTTGCTATCATTCCTTTGCTTTCGTTTTTACCGTAACCATTTGCGGACTCTAAATATGCGTTGTAAAACAATAATTTCGTTGCTGAAAGCTGTTTTCTTTATGCATTTTCCTCTTCTTCTC